ACCCCATGATGGAGCAGGTGGATGTGCCCAAAGGAGGCTGTGACCCTGTGGGAAGCCCATGCTGGAGCAGGCTCCTGGCAGGACCTGTGGACCCATGGAGAGAGGTGCCCAGGCTGGAGCAGGTTTGCTGGCAGCACTTGTGACCCCATGGGGAACCCACGCTGGAGCAGTCTGCTCCTGAAGGACTGCACCCCATGGAAGGGACCCATGCTGGAGCTGTTCCTGAAGAACTGCAGCCTGTGGGAAGGACTCACGTTGGAGAAGTTGGTGGAGGACTGTCTCCCGTGGGAGGGACCCCACGCTGGAGCAGGGGAAGAGTGTGAGGAGTCCTCCCCCTGAGCAAGAAGGAGCAGCAGAGACGATGAGTGATGAACTGACTGCAACCCCCATTCCCTGTCCCCCTGCACCGCTCAGGGGGAGTAGGTAGAGAAAATCGGGAGTGAAGTTGAGCCCAGGAAGAAGGGAGGGGTGGGGGGAAGGTGTTTTAAGAGTTGTTTTTATTTCTTATTACCCTACACGTTCTCACTCCTCTCTGCTACTCAGTTTTGATTGGCAATAAATTAAACTGATTTCCCCAAGTCAAGTCTGTTTTGCCCATGACAGTAATTGGTGAGTGATCTCATCCTGTCCTTATCTCAACCCACGAGGTTTTTGTTATATTTTCTCTCCCCTGTCCAGTTGAGAAAGGGAATAATAGAGTGGCTTTGGGGGGCACTTGGCATCCAGCCAGGATCACGCCACCACAACTATACAGCCAATGTCTAACTTTTATTTGAGGGATATCAATTAAGAAATCCACAGAAGTTTGAGGAAATGCCAGCTGGATTAGTAGGCTAGGACTTCAGAGAGAAACTACACCTCCGGGTTGCCCAACTGGTCTGGCCAAACTCCTTCTGCCAGGTAATGCTACTGTGACAGACCCCAAATGCAGGAGGTCTCAGGCTGTAGAATGATTTGCAGTCAGGTCTTGTAGCTGTGAAATCTCTTCTGAGTAACTGTGGCTGTAATAATCCACTAACATCTCTCCTTTTGCAGCTTCCCCCTGCCCTATGTACTTGCTTCTACTCATTAAATGTCAAGAATAACGCTTCAAATTCTCCTCAGTGGAGATCCACGCATTGCTCCTGTCTCGGGCTTTAGGCTTAATCATTCAGCAAGGCACCTGAGGATAAACTTTGGCAGGCCTCAGGGTACACCTACAACACCGAGGCACTCTAACTGGTGGCGACAACAGCAGCTCTGGAAGCATGGCAGTCACATAAATACTGCCTGGCTGAAAAGGACCTGGGGGTGTTGGTTGACAGCTGGCTGAACATGAGCCAGCAGTGTGCCCAGGTGGCCAAGAAGGCCAACAGCATCCTGGCTTGTATCAGGAATAGTGTGGCCAGCAGGAGCAGGGAGGTGATTGTTCCCCTGTACTCGGCGCTGGTGAGGCTGCACCTGGAGTACCATGTCCAGTTTTGGGCCCCTCACTACAAGAAGGACATTGAGGTGCTGGAGCGTGTTCAGAGAAGGGCAACGAAGCTGGTGAAGGGTCTGGAGCACAGGTCTTATGAGGAGCTGCTGAGGGAACTGGGATTGTTTAGTCTGGAGAAGAGGAGGCTGAGGGGAGACCTTATCGCTCTCTACAACTACCTGAAAGGAGATTGTTGTGAGGTGGATGTTGGTCTCTTCTCTCAAGTAACAAGTGATAGGATGAGAGGGAATGGCCTCAAGCTGCATCAGGGGAGGTTTAGATTGGATATTAGGAAAAATTTCTTCACGGAAAGGGTGGTCAAGCATTGGAACAGGCTGCCCAGAGAGGTGGTGCAGTCACCATCCCTGGAAGTGTTCAAAAAACGGGTAGACATGGCACTTTGGGACATGGTTTAGTGGGTATGGTGGTATTGTGTTGATGGTTGGACTGATGATCTTAGAGATCCTTTCCAACCTTAATGATTCCTAGTTTTTACTTTCATTAAAAAATAATCCAGCCACCAAGCCAGCAAACATGAAATTACTACTCTACCCTTAACTGGTTTAGCGGTGGACTTGGTAGTGTTAGGTTACTGGTTGGACTGGATGATCTTCAAGGTCATTTCCAACCTAAACGATTCTATGATTCTAACCACAGACAACAGCTAATTCTGCTGCCAAGAACAAAGTAAGTTCCCTCTACCTGGCTCCACACAGAAGCAGGTGGCCAGACCACCTTGTACCACCCCTTCCAGTGTCTCTCACTGCATGCCATAGATATGCCCACAATGAGCTGAACAGGAAGACTCATGTTCAGGTACATTCGGAAGTCTGAAGTCCTGCACTACCCCCAGTCCACAACTTAAAGGTGTGCAATATCCAGGTAAAAAGCACACAAGTAATTTTAAATAATAGATGGCTTTAAAGCAAACTGCGTGATGGATTTCTATCCAGACCTTAGGAAGGCATGGAAAATGAGACAATGCCTGTTCTGCCAGCAAGTGCTTCAACTACTAAGGAATCCTCTTTACTGTAGAAGTAGATCCAGGTCAAGTGTTAGGGCAGAGCTCAGGAGCAGTTATTGTGTTGTACAACTGCACAGAAGTTTTAAACAAGTATGCACATTATGGAAAATAATTGTAGCTAGAAGCTAAGAAAACAGCAAGCAGGGGACAGACAATCTTGCAGTTGAACTATTATTTGCTCAGGACAGGCCTTGTGCTTGATGCTTGGAACAGCGTTAAGACAACAGTCCCTGCCCAAAGAAGCATACAATCCAAGGAAACACAGGGATAATTCAAGCACAAAACGCGCCAACTGACCATGCAATAGGGCCGTACAGAAGTGCAGCACAGCAGATGTTTTCATTGTTAGTAAGATATCACAGCACTTAAACAGCTCAGAGTTAACAGTGGCAGTCTGCAGAAGAGGCACATTTTGCGAGGATTCACAAGGAAGGGCCAGAGCTTGCTACACCCAGATGAAGACTGTATTTCAGGCATGTCAGGCAGAACAGAAGGCTCAGCATTGATACTCAAATGCACACAATTTAGTATCTACATTCGCTGGAGATTGAATAAAGGTAAGATGGCACGCAAAGTAAGTTTATTCAAGCTGGCCAAACTCAACATCATTTCTTTCACTAACATGATTTGAGAAAAGCTCAAAGAAGAAAAACAAGCAGTCACCAGCTACCTTTGAGCATCCCCAGTTCATCATAAAAAACATTAAAGGCCAATGTAAAGATTAAACAGATTACTTGCTTCTTTTGTAAGTTCTCTAAAAACAGTACTTATACTAGTATTTGACTGTAGATCTTAAGCTTCTGGCTCTCGTAACTAGGAATGAAATATCACAGTTTTATTCTTGCCTTAGACATAGCAAAATGAAGTAGCTGTATGCACCATGGAAGACTCACATCGGTGTCCTCCACTACTTTATTTTTGTCTATATTATTTTAAAATTATAAGAACAAGTTACATTTTTATGTCCCTTTAACAACTGCAAACTGAGCATTCATATGTCAGGGCAACAATAGGTATAAATACTTTAAATGTTCTTTTAATAAGATGTTGGTAAAGGTACCAACTCCACTGAAACACTCTTATTCAGTTCTCATATAATGTTCCCCATAATCTGTACTTGTATTCTTGTATTTGCATAAGCTTTCACAGGACAAAAAAAAACCCAAACCCCAACCACACCCCAAAAAACAAACCACTGTCTGAATTTACAGACAGGGCAACAGAAGAACAGAAGCAGAGTGAGGTGAAGCATCTTCCTCGCACAACAGAAAACAGAGCCTAAGTGGTGGATACGGACTTAAAACCAGGGCTCCCCCTGCCCAAACACAGAGCTGCTCCCTCCCCTGGGGCTTGAAAGTTTCCATGAAGGCGCCTACAGGAGAATCAGAGGGTTATTAATGTGGTCAGCGCAAAGACAGTTCTCAAGATAGAATGAATGAAGTCTTACATTTGGGAAAGAGAAGAAAGTCATCTGAGGCATGAGTAATCTTGTAAGCATTTACAAGAAAAATTCCTTCCAGAAATCTGGAGATCTCCAATATAAACTAGAATATGAATAAAGAAAGGCTTGCAAAGAACTAGACAAAAAATTATACCCCCCGCCCTTTTATTTTTTTAAAAGCTTGAAAGGCCAGCGATCACTGCAACAATGAATCTAAAAAATAAGAGAAACCTCCATGCTATGTCAGTCTCTGGAGTCAGAAAATGCTTCCTCTCACTACTGTGGTGCACATTAATACAATAAAAGACAAGACAGACTGTACCACGAAATTTAGCTAGCCTAGTTACTTAAATAGCGGGGGGAAAACACAAAACAAGAAAACATTTGAAAAGTTGGTTGAGTGACCAAAAAGAAAATTTCAGCTGGTGTCAAATGAAAGAAAAAGCTAGTAGTTTAAGACAGGTAAACTTGCATAAATAATGTAAAATTCAACAGAATTTTTGTAGATGCGGGTGATGGCAAAGTTTCATCAAGACAGGTGTGGAAACATGGGGAAAGAACTGAAAGATTGGAGTGAGAACTGATAAAGAACTGAGAATGAGCCCTCAGCTTGACTGCTTTTGGGAAGTATACCAGACAGTTTATTTGCCGTTTCAGTTGCATTTAATCTTTTGAGAACCAAGAGGATTACTTTTTTTCCAAAGACATTAGTTCTTAAAAATCTCAAAAAGTGATTTCACTACATTAAGAGATGCTCTGTAACAAAAGTAATATGACTTCAAATCTAGAGTTTTAGATATATAAATTATTTATAAACTGAAATGCAGAGAATGGGAGTGATGCTAGTTTTTTTTCAAAGCTCACATTTTTCAATAATTTTCTGTTGCCCAGATATAGCAGCAGAGGACTATTAAGTAGTTTTATACAGATACAGGTACAAATAGAGACTGCTTGCAAAAAAGGTCAATGCATCCTTTATAGAAAGTGACACCTTCAGAGACAAAAAAGGGGATCACCACTCCATACCAGTTCAGCTTCTGCTGATTACTTAGTTCCATATATCAAGACACGCTTCCATGTAAAACCTAAAATTTTACCTCCAATTTAATCTAATTCTATCTGAAATGCCAACCTTGCGTGGCAGGTCTCTGAAATTATCTGAGCTATGCTAAAGTAAGAGAATGTCAGTGGTGTGATGCAAAATATTCCAGCACCTATTTCTTCAGCCCGCTTTGCTAAACAGGTAGCTTTCACCCCCAAAAATGCATGAATCATACTTTTAAGCCTTTCTAATTTAAAAAAAAAAAAAAATCAAAGTTTCTCCTATATTTTTACTTTATTAGAATTAAATAAATGTATGTAATTTTTTTTTTCTTTAGAAACACTTATACTCTCACAGTAGATGCTAACATCAAAGACAAGTAGACCTAAAGCAGAACCTGGCTATCACTACTGACAGCTTTTCCTTTTTATATAAAAGGTACACTATGGAAATCAAGAAAACTTTTGCAACAGGTTTAGCAAGCCTGCTGACATGCTAATACTTCTAAGAATTAAGAAAAAAATTAATGACAGGTGAAATAGATTGATAAATCCCATGAAAGTTTCCCTTGCTCTCTTACAACTCAAAGTATTAATCACTTTGCACATACTGTACTTTAAGCTGGCACATTCATCCAACAGAAAAAGAATTAATTATGAATATTCTCAAGGCTGCTTAGAATTTTATAAACAAAGCAATAGCTATTAGAAAGAAAAGTTAAGAACCACAGTGAGGAACTGGATTAGGCAGCACTCAGAGTTACTTTAAAATTTAAAATATGAGCAGAATTAAACAGAAGTTTAACATGTTGCAGTTAGATCCCCAGGCTGCCAGAGAACTGTGACTTCTTTGCAAACAACCCTTTTCTCTGTTACGTGAAAGATCCACCCTAACAAGGGACTGGCTGGCCAGTGAAAAGCCCTCAAAAATACAAACAACATCTCCAGTTGGCATACTTGTGATGAGAAACAAAAATCAGAAAGGTATGTCTTCCAGTCTTTTCATTTTAGGGCGTTTCATTTAGCAGTTAACCCTGTACCCTATTTTAGGCAAGGAATGATCTTTAAATCACCCATGTCACTTTAAGCAGTGTAATTTGAGAAACACACAGAGAAAGTCACAGTAAACATTACCAGAGGACAAACTTTTCAAACTGGAAATATAATTACAACTGTTAATTAGGCACATCCCTTCTGGAAAAAAAACCCCAAAAAACTCAAAAAGCAAAAAGCCCCAACCGCTCCCTGCCCCAAACCCCAGCTACTGCTTTCATTTAAGACACACTGGGGTATGGCATAAGAGCAGGAGCTCTTACACTTTTAAAAGCACAGCTTTGGAGGACAACAGATGTCTTACATGAAAATACGCAAAGAAATAGTCTGTAGATCTAATTTTCTTTTGTTCTTACAAGGTATAGGATTTATTCTCTGTGATAAAGCAGTTACTTTTTCTTACTTTTATGTGCCAAAAAAGTCTAAAGAGCCAGAAGCTTGAGATCCGTAATTCATACTTGCTTTTAAAAACTAAGACCAATATACCTACCGTGACAAAACGGGTGGCAATTCAATCCAGCTTAACAGCTGAAAGTTATATTTTACTTTGAGTATTAAATTTTTTTGACCATCTCTGGTATGCCAGAGCTAGTGTATTCATAATAAAAACTACAAATGCAAACCAAACATTTCTATGCCATGAACTGCATTGTTCTGAAAGTTTTCACTCCCCTTACACTTCTACTGCTCTGCTAAAATGATCCATTGCCAATACATTTTTTCTATGGGACAACCTACTGCAAGCTCATTCCCAAAGGGTTACTGCTTTTCAGTGAGCCGAGTTTAAAACCACAGTTCCTTATGGGGAAACAAAGTTAAATTCATTCTTACCATTTTCATCTACAGCAAGTACACTTGCTCCCTTCCCTAAAAGCTCTTGAACTACAACCGTTAGTCCATTCCGAGCAGCAACATGCAGCGGTCTGTGAAGAGAAGCAAACTGGTGTATAAACCTTAGAACAACATATTCAGTAGGTAGCTTCCACCTAGTTAAATGATTACTGAAGTATTTACACTGGTATGTTACTTACACATTATATAAATACTGTAGATACAACAACTAAGATGGGAAAACCAGTAACTCTCTTATTGCAAAGAAACTGTACAATAACAATTGTGCACTTACTTTCTTCTTTTTATGGCACCACACAGTGAGGAAGTAGCTGCTAGAAGAGACCTGCCTGCTCATGGACTTTATCACTTTAAAAATTTAGAAACATCTGGTACCTTACTGTTGATAAATCCTTCACTGAACTGTTGTAACAGGTATCATCACATGAGAGTTACTCCATGTCACTGGCAATAATCATTGGAATAGTAACAGCAGAATGGTAGTTATTTTATTGCATGTAAATGCTTATAAGAGATGCAGAAGCATTTCATCAATTTGCCTTTTAGAAACCACTATATTCCACTGTGACTAGAAATGAAAAAACTATTTTCTATTGTAATGCATGAAGCAGGAAAAACAGATTACTTTTCAAAACCTCAAACTATTAAACGTAACCCTCTTTTGCAGTGACTTCATCTATCAAGGAAAGTGTAGCTTTACCTCAAATATTCTAATTGTATCTTTTTCAAATGCCCCAATTTTTCAAAATTGGCTCCCACTAGCTTAAATAAAACCCTACCACCACTCAGTGGGAAACAGAATAATCAGCTTACTTCCCTTCTGCTCTGTATAGCTCTTCATTCATTTTGAGATTCTTAAAACTGTTTGAATTAACTGTAAACTATATTTTGATTTGGAAACAAGTGATGTGCCTTAGAGACCAGAAATGCAAAAGATACAACTAGGAGAAGCTCTTTCTATGGTGCTTTTATTAAAGTATTAAAATTCAAGAACTACTGCACACCACAGATATACTGAAAAATGCACTGTAATTAAAATAGAGGCCAACAGTTGTAATGCTTATCTTGGCACAAAGTAGGACATTGTTTATGATGAAAGCTGTTTAGAAAGTCAGTTTAGTTATTAAAAAACCATTTGCTAAACCAGTAGTATTTTAAACAACTGTTAAAATCTTGAAATTTATATAAACATTTCATGGAGGTGCGAATATGTACCTATTTTTCCCCCATGACATCTCTTGATCAGACTGTATGAGCCAAGGCACGTGGGTGGAATTAGATGAGCCTGTGGTAGCATGCTTTCCCACTTCTGTTCCCATCTCATTTCTGCTTTTCCTCCTCCCAAGATATCCCTGCCTTCAAGCCAGAAATGGGGCAATGAATCCCTTTCCTGCTTTCTGGTTATTTCATGCTGCCTGAGGTGCACCATGGTGAGCAGCAAGAGCAGAGGAGTTAAGTCTTACTATCTTAACTCCTTAAGTCAAGCACATCTCTGAGAATAGTTGCAAGAACTGTAGGAGTTTGAACATGACAGATTCCAGAAGGGATGTAAGGCCAGAGAAATACAGGAGTTAGTTACAAACAGTTAGGTGCCAAATATTGCCTATAACACAAATACATTCTTTAAAAGGAAAAAAATGCAGAAGAGTCATTTTAATGGCCCGTTCTGAAATATATTTCCCAGTATGACATACCACTACATTTTTCAGTTTTCCTCATGATTGGGCTAACAAAATAGACTTAATTCTACTTGAGAGAAGATCTTCAGGAAGTGTTAAGAATACTATAGTCTCCATAATATTTAACAGAAAATAGTCTTTCATCCTAGTAGCAATAGGTATCTTTTCCTAACAAGAAACCATGCTGAAGAATAAAAGCATACTTCAGCTAGGTTTTTTATTAGCTAGCTTTTTAGAGTAAGTCTTAGTTTGTGTCCAATGAGTTGTTAACTGAAGTGAATTTTAATTGAAAAACTAGATAATTTACACAACAGAAAAACATTGGTTTACAGGTAATCTCAGCGGACTGCAGTAGTTCCACACAGGATTCCCTGAATCACTATACTGTAAGATTTACTTTCACTCAGCTAAAATGAGAACTTTAAGTATGAACAAGCAAGCACCATTTCACTTCAAGCCAGTTAAACTCTTGGTACCTGTTAAGCAGTTCAATCAAAATTCAACCAATTTGGAAAAAAATTCTGAAAAATATTCCTCTATGAGCAAGACACTGGTTTTAGCAGAAACACACCAAAAACTCATCTGTAAAACACACTCACTGCTGATACATACGTTTGCAAGGCTGCATTGGTGGCATTTATGAGGTTTCTGTCCGTAATCTTCTCCAGTATTAACAAGGCACTAGTTTCATGACCCTTAACACAGAACAAACATCTGTCATATAACAAATACTCTTCAAAAACTGCTTTGAATGCCTTTTCATTTCCTAACAAGTTAATATTTGTAAACAGTGCTTGATAACACAAAGCTCAGTACCGGTAAGTCAGACTATGCACACACCTTGCTGCAAGCCAAATGGAGTGCTGTGTTCTTAGAACTGTCTTGCAAAGTCAGATCAGCCTTAGCACTGCTAACCAGCACCTCTGGGGAAATAAAGATTTGTATTAACTAAAAGCATATTCCCTAAAGTCTGAATGGCTTACATTTGTGCAAAATGAAAACATAATTTTGACAGAATATATCCACAAGAACATTAACTATAAGGCAACTTTACCCACAGTAAGATTAACAAACTTAGAAGCAGAAAGATATAAAGCTTTCTCTTTACCAACTGTACTTGTCTGTCCATTTTCTGCAGCCATCATTAAAGGTGTTTTCCCAGAAGAATCTACAGCATTTACTTGAGCGTTGTGACTGAGCAGGAGCTGTAGACACTCAACATGGTCTGTAAAAGCTGCTGCATGAAGAGGAGTTCTACAACAGATCAAAAGACAATAGGGCCGTGTTCAGCCATGCTTTGTACTTTAAAGGGGCATGCTGACTGTGATCCTGCAGATAAAAAAGACTGGGCAATCCCTCTCACTAATCCTTTGAAGTCAGTATTGCTGGAGTTGTGACTGCTGCCTTTAGAAAGTCACCTTCAAGTTTCAAATAAGTCCCTCTGTGTCGTTTATAATAGAGATACAATTTGATTCAGAAAAAATAAAATATGCATAAAATACTACCCACAAAGTGATACTTTAAAACATGCTCAAACTTCCCTATACAATAAAAAGCTAATTCAAGTTTATCAAATCAGAACAGGATTTTTAAAAATCTAAAATTTATTTCTAGCATAGAATAAACCCCCCCAATTCTTCAAAGAATAAAAACAGGGGAAGAGGGAATTAATGTAAATAGCAAATAGAAATCCCCCAAATGATTACAGAATTTAGCAGAGCTGCTTTAACTGTTACATTACAAACATCCTTCCACTGTGCATTTACACTCTTACCTTCCTTTTGAATCTGTTGAATTTACAATACCAGCACCTAGTGTATCAATTAACATTTCTGCAGCACCTTCATTGTCATTTATCCTATAAGGAATTAAACAGGCTGTTATTTACAGAATTATAAATCTTTTGTCAGATACACCAATGAAATCTGTGAAGAATAATTTTGCACTTCCTTACACAGCACAATGCAATGGACTGAAAGAATTTCCTTCCATTTTCTGGAAAACTTCCTGTTCCAGGAGGAGCTCTACACAACTGTCATGACCTAAAGCAGATGCAAAAGTTAGGTATTAGAAAAAAGGGAAAGGGTCTATTTATGTATTACAACAAAAAATATTTATCTAAATTAGATTAAGCAATATCACTTGGAAGTTTCAACAACACACTGGTTATATTCAATAGGGCTACTTTTAGGAACTAAGACATTTTTTGAATCCTGAAAATCAAACTGCCATTTAACACTGTAAACTTTCTGAAATTTAGAAGGGATCTCATGCTGTCTGAAGAACACCCAGGACACTTAATTTAATTCTTTACACCTCCATCTTTCAAACTTTTATGTACATTCACCACTTAGTCTACATGAACCATTTGGGGGTCATTTTTGTTCCGCTGTCTTGTTAAACCCGAAGAAAAGCCAAGTCGACAGTCGTAACAAAAGCTTAAAAAGAACATGTTCAACCTACCATACTATTACTTTCAAAATTCTGTAGCCTGCTGCTGTACAGGTAGTGAACAATTGTAACTATCTGTTTGATCTTTGATGCATATATGCAGAGAACCTTAGTTCAACATTCACTGTTGTCTAAAGATTTGTATTTTCACAAGTCCTGTCAAATTTTCATTCTACAAATCAAGCATATTTCAGTTCTGTTTTATTCAGACACTGTGGTCACTCTGAAAATGGACCAAACTGTAAGAGTTAAATTTTATGAATGCAATAAAGAGATGTTACTGTAGTTCAGATTATCAGTGTATTACCCACTTGCTTCTAGCTGTGAAGACAGTCTAGTTAGTTATTCACTTAAAATAATTCGTGAAGTGAAGCTCTAAACCCTTACTTCTTGATCTTTCTCTATCATGTGACTCAGAGGTGAAATAAATGAGAACCTCTACTATGTCAGAAAGGAACACACAAACCAAAATCCTTAGCAAAGGAACCAAATGAGTTTCCTACCTTTTAAGGCCTCCCTCACCCCCAAATCCAAGATAAGTATCAGTGAAGCAAAAAAAGATAAATTCTTATTGAATCACTTTTATATACTTCAGCTTCTTGTGCCTATCAAGGTTGATTTCGAGGAAGTTTAAAAAAGGATTTAATCAGAAACCATTCCTCCCAAGACTGCCCTTGAAGGTTATTTTTTGGGGATGTGTGACACATTTCTATTCACAGGTACTATGTGGAATTTCTTGAAAGACTCCTTGAGGCATAAAACTAAGGCGGCAGTTCATAACAAAAATGTAGTACAAAACCAAACACCTCATTTTATGTATTAGACGTTAATGCATTCCCCCTCAAGATATCATGTGCTTCATATTGTCACATTGACTAATATGAACTGAGAGAGGACAGACTTTATATTTTGCTTTTATAAGTAGTAATAACTTCTATCTCAATATCAACAAATACATTTAGACCTGTATTTTAACTTTAATGTATTTTACCATTATAGCAGGCCCAATGCAGTGATGTATAGCCCTGATTGTCTGCTATTGCAGGCACTGCATCCACAGATGTAGCTGACTGCAGGAGAGCTCCTAGAACACCTATATGTCCACATGCAGCTGACAAGTGGATAGGGGTTCGCCCCCTACAGTCTCGTAATAACGACTTAGCACCATGTTGAAGCAATGCTTCCACACACTCCTCATGCCCAGTAACTGCCTGAGAGAGAGAGAGAGAGAGAGAGAAAATAGCAAGTTTGCAAATATTCATGTATATAAGCCAAGGTGTATAACTAAAGCAAGCAAACTTCAGGCAATTTCTTACATTTTTAGGTAATAACAAAATAAGCACAGTTATATTTATTCCTGGAAACAGCCATTCTGTTGGAAAAATAGCAAGGTATTATATTGATGACAATAATTTCTTGGAATAACACTGAATGAACTGTTAATCTCTAGGGCTCATTCAATTGTCTTATCTGACAGACTATAAAAAAAAAAAATTGGTATATGGCATGCATCATGCTTTTCTTCCTCCCATTAATACTACTCCCACCCCATAACAAAAAGCTGTTGACTAGAGATGTCCCAGAGTACACTTTACATCAAGATTGACTCTAGAAGTCCAAAAGAATTCTGAGGGTACAGAGCAAACAGGCAAAAGCTTGCCTTTTGAAAGCAACTAAAAAGACAATTAAAAATTAGGAACGGCAAGATGAGAATGACAACAAATTCATTAACACTAATGTATTAAGTCTGTATTTGAAATTAATGTGTATAAAGCTGGAAAGGCCAGAAAAAGAATATTCTCTTACCCCTCTATGTAATGCTGTCCTTCCCCACTTATCTTTGGCATCTACATTTGCTCCTTTGCTAAGGAGTGAATAAACGCAGTCGGTGTGCCCATTGAGAACTGACAACATCAGAGGAGTCCTAAGCAGAGAGTGACATGAAGTGTAATCTACACTGAAATTTAACAGACTGGCACTCAGCTGAAATGTAACAAGTACTATTCTTCTGGACAACGCTGTTAAAATCCACATCATCAATGACCTTCTGTAGCACTACCTTCACTCCCAGAATGCCACTCACATTTGCTTTTTAGACACAAGAAAATAAATTAATATCCCCTAATTCAGAAGTCCTGATTAAGTTACTGGAATTCATTTTTTTCAGCATCTGGGCAATAAGACACATTTTAGTTTCCTCCCAACTGAACAAGGACATTTTTCACTGCGAACATTATGTTTATTGCAAAATACATAGTCTCCTTTGTCCTAGTTCAAATATCATCTCCCTTTGAAGTAATAAATTAAATCACCAGTGTAAAATATTTAGTTTTTCCTTTTCTAAAATGCAATAACTTGTGAAGAACCAAATGTGTATCGTTTAAACTCACTGTCCATTTCCATCTTGAATGTCCACTGCATTCTGTGGTTCTGCATTTCCTATCAATAGCCGCAAACATTCTGAGTGACCATTTGTAGCTGTAAAACAGCATAAAAATATGAGTTTTACATTAATTGCCTTGAGTATACAGCTCAAACAGAATGGTAACCTGCTCAGACTAAAGCGTGTTAGCTTGAGAACCCACTGTACAGCTTTACTATTGTTATAACTGAAATTAAAAACAAAAAATATGAACACTAGAAAATTATTTCAGAAATTAGGTATTCTCAACTGTATAGTATTGAAAGTAATCGATTTTAACTGTCAATTGCCAACAGCTATTTGGTTTTTTAACATATAAATGAGGTTGCACACATTAACCATAATTAGAATATATGCTTATACAACATCCACAAGAAGGAATAATTAGATATAGTAATTAGCATAACTTTTGCTTGTTTTAAGGCACAGGTAAACACATACCTTGCCAATCATACACAGATTTTGTTAGCAAGTGTAGCATGTACACAGTTATGAAATGATAATTGAAATCACATTTAGAAAGAGGGGAAGGAAATGTAATGCATAGAAGTAATTAAGCAAGCAGTTAAAAAAAGGACAAAGAAAAGAAACAAAAAACTGAGAAATCACATTTCAATGCACCTCATGAAAGAAATGATTGCTTGTTGGAGGGGAAATTATTTCTGACATACAGCTGCTGTACTCAGTCCACCTAAGAACAGTGACAATTCATGCTTTTCTAGCAGACAGAAATGCCAACAGAAGTTAGGAGGAGCTAAATCAAATAGAATAATACAGCTTGTGCTCATGGACAACAAATTAAGTGGTTAGAATGATGATGTTTTGTACGTAATGCTCTTTTTACTACAACATTTCTATAACACCGTTAAGTATAAATGCCAATTTAAATAAGCCTATTTTCAAAGGGAGGAAAAAATAAGACTATATTATGAATGCTAGACTTCGAGAAAGGTAGGTTTATAGAAGTTTTCTAGGAAAGGTAGTGAGAAAATATTGCAAAGGATTGCTGTTATTTTGAAAACAGTCAGGAGTCATCTAAATCCTTGGAAAAAAACCAAAGTATAGTTTTCATGTCTCTTCTCAAACTGACAAAATTCTCCAAGACTCCAGTCATTTTTAGAAGTATTTTACTGCCAAGACAGCCAACACAATTCTCATATCTAAATTTGGGCCTACAGTTTGGGCTGCACGAAAGACGAGGAGAGAAACAGGAACGTGTCACTGACAACTACCAGCACAGCTAGCCTAGCCAGTTGAATGGACAAGGACCCCTTCCAGAGAGGGGTGTGGAACAGCACACTCCTCAAGCCAAAATGATTTACTGGGTTAATACTGGTTTATACCTGCAACTGGTTTGTTACACCTTTCTCAGCATAGCATGTACCTTAAAAGTCATTGTCTATTCCTAAACACCATTTCTTAGAACATTAATGATAGAGCCTTCTAAACACAAAGATAATCCACTTCAAAACCCCAAATTTTAGAGGTTAGCGGTTAGCACATACCTGCAGCATGTATCGGGGTCCTCTTTACAACATAATCTTTCACCAAGATTGATGCTCCCTGATTAATGAGCACATCTACACATTCCACGTGTCCCTTAAAGGCAGCAAGATCCAATGGTGTCCTTCCGTTATTATTCCTCACATCAAGGTCCAGCAGTGACTGTACCAGCACTTCCAGAGCTTGATGGTGGCCATGATAGGCCTACAAGAAAAAGAAAATTCTTCAGTTTTCCTGTCCTTCACATTTTTCCCTTTCTTACCAGGATTACATAAATGAAACTGTGAAGATAGTATTTTTGTTTCAACATGTGGAGGAGCTACTGATGCAGCATGTAAGTAGTTACAATAGTTATGACTAATTTAAAGAAACCCACAATTTCAAGCAAGAGGGTTGGTGGTTTTTTCCCGTTTTATCCTTTCAGTCAATACCTGAAACTACTTCAGAAAATCATCTTTCTCCACTTTGTATAACTACTGGTATTTTGAATACTGCATGTTTCATTGCTTCATGTTATAGTTACATCACCCTCAGATTATTTCAAGTGAGAAACATATGCAAACTTAACTAATTCCTATGATTTAAAAAAAAAAAAAATACTTAAAGAAAAAGCCAGTAAAATTTGCAAGTAAAAAGAATACAGTACAAATAGCTACAGTTAACTGGTAAAACAGAAGGGACTTAGGGGATGAAACAGTTAAGAGATCAGAATGGATATACAAAGATTAAAAAAACAGCATAAAGAATACTCTGTATGTATGTGTCAAGACAAAGTGTCAAAGTTAGTAATGAAAATAAACTTCTACAGCTATGTTTTTATAATTTCCATAATACATTTTAAATGTATGCTCATGGATACATAACCTCTGCCCCCAGACAAAACTCATTTCCAGGAACAGTGCCTTCTGACTGCTTTCATTTACCAGTATTAAATGGTACTTTTTACTTTGGAGAGATATATATGTGTGTGTGTGTGTGTGTGTGTGTGTGCACTGCATGAGACTTAGGCTACTTTCAGAAAGTACATTGTGGTTTTTCAGTTGCTCAAAGTCCAGTGAAAAGATGAAATCTACAGATTGAGCTGGTTACTCTGTATTTTGAGTATATTTGTATAGACGGTTGCATCAGGTCTTCTCCTACACTACTCTTTGTGCAAATCTTTCTTCAAGTATTAAGGACAAACATTTCTCATACTAAATAACGATGATGATAAAAAAAAGTCATCATGACTTATAGAACAAGTCTTCTAAAAGTTTCATTAGTATAAATGATAACATAAGTCTTAGTTAGAAGATTCCAAACAAAAGCTGTTCCATGAAGCAAGTTTCAAGTGAAATGCAAAAATCTCCCTGCAAAAATTCCTCATTCAGGAATATTATGTATGTATTTTTATGTTTCATTTATTGTTATTGACCTATTTTTAAAAAATCCAGAATGAATAAACATATGTCAACAACTGTTTGCAGTTAGATGAGCTATCATTGCTAAAGAATGAAATACTTACTGCTAAATGCAGTGGACTTATAGGTGCTCTGTTGTCTGAATCATTCAGCATGTCAGTACCTGATGTTTCCATTAGCTTAGCAGAGAGAGAAAGTCAGAATAAGTGCAAAACCCCTCACCTTTAAAAAACATTTGGCAATAATTGCTACAGTTTCCAGTATATACAGATTGAAAAATAAAGGAAGAAAAATAGGAAGAATAATATAGGATTATAGTTTCCTTAGGAATCTCCTTCAACCTTTTAAAGAGTTTGAATTGCAATGACTGCAACCCTTCCCCCATATTCATGTCCCAAGCACAGCTGTTTAATTTTGAATAACAATGCTGTAATTAAATCAGAAACTAATCTAGAATTATTATTTTCCTGAAGCAGCCATATGAAATAATATAGATGAAATGCATACAAAGGGAAGACAAGGACAGGTGAGAACAGCTGTAGTAGGACACCCCAGCCCCCCCCCAACAACTAAGCATTTAGATTAGGTGAAAAGTCAGCAAAAAGCAATATGAAAGGCAGGACTGATTTCTTAGAACAGAAAAACATTTCCCAAAGAGAAGAAATGGACCCCCAAAAAAGGCACAAGCATTATAAAATAGTATTGAAATATCTATTTTTGTACATTTCTATTTGCTACTTTCAGATGTGTTTTTTTTCCAAGACCATATTTAATTTAGTACACTAGTAAAATTAGAACATTCAAACTGTTTGAAGAACACCAAATACATTCAGATCACTAAGTTTTCATTATCACACTTCTATAACATGGTCATACAAATGTGTAAGTAAAAAAAAAAAATAAATGGCTTAGAAAATTATTTTCTATTTTAAAATTCTGAATTGCAATCAAATCTAAATTGCAATTGAAATTAATACATCTATGCATTGAAGAAATGGTTGAATAAGTCTAAAAATAAGCAGTGTTTTTAAAATTACACGTTCCTTTTTGTTGTACAGTAGTACTTTAACAGTAAGAAATAATACACTTACAACATCTAGAGGCGTTTCGTTTGCAATCTGCAATTAAAAACATTCAGAATTCATGTTTGAATACATTTGAAATTAGAAGTATAATTTGTATAAAAATACTACATTGTATAACACAGAAAAGATAAAATTAGCATATCAAACAACATACACATTTTCTGCAAAGGGATTAATAAAAAACTACTTGAGGCTTTATTATCTAAAATTCTATTATGTGGCCATTAGTTACTCTAACTATGTGAACTATTTTAAAAGGCACCGTTACTTTACAGGTTTTCCCTACGTTTTAATTTGCTCCTTCAGATGACATTTGTGATATTTCTTAACACTTCACAATGGGATAACGTGTGGATATTTTATTTCAGCCATCAGGAAAAAATTTGGCAGTGTATTCTAAGTTAAGAAACAAAACAAAACTAGCATCCCACATCCTCAACCAGTTATCCCTTCATCTCAGAACGTTATTATCTTTTTAAGCCAGTATCTACCATCTTAGCTCCTCACCTTGCCCTTATTTTAAAAGCACCAAGTGCTTAAATATTTATCCTCACAGGGGCTGAAAAACACTGTCGACCTAGCTTACAGATGAAGAACCAAGGTGGAGGAATCCCCTAGCCTTTGCATCATACTCTGTAAGAGCAGCTGTTACAGCTTTCATCTATGATACGTTTTCTTACCAATTCAAGACATAAGCGATGACCATAAGCAGCTGAATAATGAACTGCATTGTATCCTTGTTTGTCTCGGATCCCCGGATTGGCATCATTTCTTAGCAAGTATTCCAGGCACCTATTTAAATTGACATATGCAACCATATATCTAAATGTTGAATTTCAACTTTATACTAAGTGATAAATTGTTCCAATTCAATTGGAAAATAGAATACAGCACACAGGAACACTGATTTAATGTACAATATTGGCTCGGACTAGAGACCACCTAACTCATTACACCAAACGTTAAGGTCAATCACAAAGCTTCCAAAATTTGAAAGAATCCTTCTCTGCAGGCATCCTGCATCCTCTGAATTATCTGACTTGGTTAAAACTAGTGTTTCATGGCTATTTTCCTCCTAGGTAATACAACTGCAGTTACCTTTGTTAGTATAAATGATTACTATTTTTCTATGTTCTTCTGTATCAGTACATTCTCTGGTGCTTAATACAGAAGGAAAAGAATCAACAGCTGAGTTCTTCATGGTATGTATCCAAAAGTCACACACACATATGCTTCCACTACCAGACACTACTTTATTGAATTTTTTATATAGTAAACACATTTAGTTGTTGGCGTACTTGTATCCTATCATTCCTTACACAAAGTTATAAAGCAGAACATGATCAGCACAGTTTCAACCACAGATACTCAGGCAGGAGGATGAAAAATAGGGTATTACAGTCAGCTCCCTCTCCCTATTTTTCTGTTTTTAAGAGACTCAATGCATGCACACTAAACGATTCCAACCAATAATGCTACTTATTCATAATTTCATATTGTCTACCATTTCAGCAACATTTTGCAAAGCCTACAAATAATGAGAATTAGAACTCTGAAGCAGTAGCCACCAGAGAATAAAGAGATAAATTGATCTAGAACTGAACTACCTGACACAACAATCTCAGCTTCAAGAGCTTCAGGATAACAGGATAAAGACTGGTGACGAACAAACAGTCCCAGAATAACATCAGGTTATTTTGCAAATGTATTCATGAGACTACAGTAAGATCCCCCAAACATCCACATATACACTGAGCAAGATCAAGACTGTACAGAGCCTCTAAAATTCTGGATTAATAGAATAGGAAAGGAGAAGAGAATTTAGATTTCTTATTGACAGATTAAGATCATTCTGGTACTTAATTTGTCTCAGTTTGCTCAAACAGTTAGGATTATGAAGGTCTCCTCATGTCCTACCTTAAGCAGAACCTTCAGGATTTGAGAAATTGCACATACTGTTTTAGCTGATAACAGAACCAAGACTGCATCTAATTCAGAAGACTACCTGACTTGAGAACGTAACACCTGGTACTTCACAAAAGGCAGATGGACTTCAGACCCTTGGATCTGGTCTACCAGTCTGGGTTCACCAAAGCTGAACTGATTAAAAACCACCTGCTAGTATATTGAATGACTGGTTCATTTGCTTCTACAGGGGGAAAAAAGAAGACTTCATGACATCCGACTTGTCAACACTGCACATTGTGATTAGATTGTCTGTTGAGACCTGGGCACAATATTTTTGAAGAGAAGACCAGAAAGCTCTGCATGCGTTCTACACAGCTCTGAACTCTGAAACACTGATTTGAAACAGCCGGTCCTTTTGCCCCAAGATATCCACGTTTTTCTCAAGTGCTCTCTGCCTATAAAAGATCATCTATTATGATAGAGAAAAATGAAGAATGGAATGGGTAGGTCTTCTCATCACTGAAGGACCACCTGACCATTTAGGAAGGGACCACCAAGCAGCTAGGAGAACATCCATCCCCGAGAGAGTGAGATTTGCAAGTCTTGTGAAGTATACCGTGAAGCTACATGCTGCTCTGTCACTAACACACAGGTAAGACATCACTGAGACAGTAGTCGTATATTCAAATGCAATCACATCTCTTATGACTTGGAACATGTGCTGCAATAGAAGGGCTTTCTAAAGACTGAACTAGAGCTAAACAAAATCTGGGAGGTGAAAGTCTAAAGACGCCCAACCTCTGTATGGCCACTTCATCAGGCAGAAGTCCAGCAAGGGAAAGTGACAAATCCAGACAGGAGAACCTTGCATTGATAATAGTCCAGGAACACCTTTAAGTGAAGCTACTTCATACACAATACTTACTTATATTATAGTTGGAAAGATTAATTCTGTAGGTCAAGAAGCACAAAGACATGCCCTTGGAATGCAGAGATGTTTATAGCTGGGCACCATCACAAGCTTGAACTTGTTGGTGAAGCCATATGGTTTTCTGAAGCATACAGCAGGTCACCATCCCTTCTTCTCTCTGGGATTATGAAATACTTCTCCTTTATCAGTTAAATAAAATGGAAGTGAAGCTAGAAAATGTATTATCTTGTCAAATCTAGCTTGGAATCTTTCTTCCTTAGCATATTTTATCTAAAGGTCTCACAGATTACTATCATCAGTAGTGACAAACAGGTCAGTTGGCTACACTGACAATATGAGGGTCTTAGTTCCCATTTATGTCATGGGAAATTGTTTGGTAGAAAGTTAAAAGAAATGTCGGCATTTGTAGTTGTATGATATGGCTATGCTGTGATGTCATGTGAAAAACTTGCAATGGGATACGGCAGGTTTAGATCTGAGAGGCAGGAATCCTAACATGACCTCTGATCAATGCTGTTAAGAGTAGAAACTTAGATCATTCAAAACCCTGGAGAACATTCAAACCTTGGAGAAATACAGGCAGACATTCTACAAAAGTGACCATCTCCTGAGGGAAGACAGCATGACCCTGCAACATCAGAACTCTTTGTAAGTTCTTTCAAGGAAGGGCACTGTTCCATCTGCTGACCCCAGGCAAGTTCATCATCTGAATAAGATCCAGTACCAGCTGTGATGAAATGGAAACACATTTCAACATGAGTAAGACAGCCGTACTGGCTCAAGGGCTCGATAACCTCATGCGCAACAACAGCAATTTGCTGAAGTGAAGAGCTGACATTTGCCTTTCCATCGCAGACAAAGGTTGAAAGTAACAAGCCAGGTGAGTGAAGATGAAAGGGGCAAAAAGCTGCAGGAAAAACTATGAACAAGGAAGTGTCTAATTACAAAGTACTCTGTCTCATTACAAAGTTGAGAATAACAGGAGCAACATCAAGGTGCACTCTCACTTTCATCATTTTGTGTCCAGCATAAAGGAGAAAAGGCCTTAGGTTGGTAGTGAAAAAGGTAAAATGTCTCTGGTTTTAAAAAAATAACATATGTAACACAAGATGTAAGTAACTTTACAGCAAGTTCAACGTATCTAATAACAGGCTACCTGTAAAGCATATCTATGTTCTTAACCAACTAATTCGGATTTTATTTGCCTGGTAAACCAATGCCTGGATTTCATTAATGGCCACTGTGCTTGCATGTGGAATTTGAATTGAATTGAAACAGGATGAGATTTCTAAGAATCCAAAGACAAATCAGTTTGTCTCACTGAGTGAGAATTACTGTCCCTACATTTTATATTTGTCCCATTGTCTAACTTACTTTGTTAATTTTAATCAATGATTTTTTATTAACATTCATGGCTCATTAATAAATGTTAAGCATCACTGGCCTTGGCTCTCTGAATTTTGATACTTGTGTACTTTCTGTATTGTGTGCTCACAAAAACCACAATACACTAAATACACTGCAGGAAGCAAAGTCTCCTTGAGTATCCATTCTTTCCAATGCAAACTGGTAATTATTTTTGCTGGTTTTTCTCATCCAGGAAAGAGATTAGCTTAGCATCTTTTGCATACTTAACTCTCCTCGGCAGGCCTCTTTAAAAGGAGATTAATCAAACTTTCTGAAAGCCCAGATAAGTTAAATTTATTTCCCATTTATTTATTACTGTACTGTCTATTAAATAATTCTAACATAGAAAGAGCGTGTTTTTTCTCCCCTAAAATGCTGTTTAGTTTATCTCATTCTGCGATCATGTTTCTCTGTCTAGTCTTGTCAAAATGAGGCTTACTGGTTTTTGTTCCAGATCAGAAGCATTTGTTAAAGATACAAAAGAAACATTTCCAAACAGGAACAAACAGGAAAATAATTTTCAACAAAAACATCCTTGTCCCTAAAATCTGTCTTTAAAGATGTCTGAACAAAGACTATAAAAATGCACATAAATATCTTTGGAATTTCTATATAGATCATTTCCTGACCTTTTTTTTCGCAGGCTTTATATTCCAACTCAGTAATCATTCTTAGCTTCATTCCTATTTTGAATATGAGATGAGCAATACTGGTTTTCCAGCTGTTACTAATCATCTTTCTGCATAAATATAAAAAGCTTCTCCTCAGGCCATTCTGCTTTGCAGCCTGTCTTCCAGAGAGCCAACTGTTAATCAGAAGGGCAATATCACGTGGGTTCCAGAGACAATTCTTTGAGTTATCTCCCAAAGCTCTGCAGTATTGCCACCATCATTCTTGATCGTGCCTTTTATAAGACAGATGGCAAAACGATGTCATCTGAAGAACCATTATAGTTTGGAGGTTTTCAGAGCAACTGTGAAGCTAAATTAATCCTAGCTCAACTTGTAAGAGGGCAATTAAAGTAAAATTATCTCAGCAAACTCCAGCAGGAAAAAGTATATCTAAAAAGCGGCAGACAGTTGGTTTTTTTTTTTAAATTTGGCTTTACATAAAAAAGGCATGTACTTTAAATATTAGTTAAATGGCCATGGCTTTATTTATCCTTCAAAATCCAATCTGTAAGTTACATACCACCTCATTCCTGTTGCTACTTCACCTTTCAAAAAGTGCTATATTAAAACAGGATGATATGGCACTAAGCAGCACTCCTTTCCAGTGAAGGTGTCATGTATGCATCTGAAAAGCGACGCTGCACACCAGGTTGTTTTGACCTGTGTATGCAAGGGTGTGCACATGCAAGTGATACTCTTCTCAAGCCTCCTCAATACATACAATGTCTGGCGCTTAAGTAACCTCATCAATTTTGTGCTATCTATATAAACTTTGCCTGTAAGCATTTAAGTCATTAATAACTATGTTAAATATACCCATTAGGTACTAAATAAACACACACACAAGACATTTATGGATTTATGAAAGTTTCTGGATGCATTTCATTAATAAAAGTATACCTACTTCACAAAAATTTGCACTAACAAGAGATAGAGTTTTAATACCAGACATGAATAGTTTAATCAAACACCAAATGGACAAAACATCTTATATTGAAATGTCGAGTTAATTTCTATCCTGAGGTGGGCCTACTGTAACTCACAGTCTAGTTTTACACTGTATTTCTGACTAACTACACAGCTTTCTGGGCAACATTAAGAACCCTCCATAACACACACCATCCTTCAGAGTTTGATTTAAAACAAAATTACCCTACTGCTCAAAACTGTCATAACCGCCCCCTCAAACAGTATTTACTCAACCACTACGCAGCAGGTGGGATTAAAAACTCTATTCTAAATGAATTCCCGAATTAGGACATCTGCATTATAATATAACAAAAAAACTACAATAAATTTTACTATTGTTCATTTTTCTCAGAACTATTTGTTACATAAAATATTTTATATACAATGAACAATCCACTGTCAAGTTTAATCTTTAAAGTATTAAAAAAAAAAATGCATTTGGCAAATCTGAAGGCAGAACATAAACAAAATTCACAGCTCAAATGTTTCTAAGGAGAAAGGCTTTAGTACAAAGCATGCCACTTACTTTCCATCTGTGTCTGATGCAGCTGCGTAGTGCAGAGGTGTACAACCCCTCTCATCAAGGTCATTCACACTAGCTCCAGATCCCACAAGGGCAAACAGGCACTGATAATTACAATTGGCAGCAGCATAATGGAGTGGAGTTCTTTAGTACACATTTAAATAAAAAGTACAATGGTAAATAACAGCAAAATAATATTATAGAGACAGAAAAAGCAAAATAAAATGAAACTTAAATCCTCATGTTTTTTTAACAAGTATTTGTGGTGAAGAATGCATCGTTACAATTCAAAAATGGGGCCATTTTCTAGGAGCCTTTTAATAATGCAGAACAATATCTAGGGGATCTATTTGCCAGCCAAAATATGCACAAACTTTGATTAAGGAAGCTTTATATGAATTTTCTTGTGTAAAAATATAGAGGAAAAAAAATCAAGTTTACATCAGAAGTATTATTTTTAGTTAAGTAATTTCAAGCCACCTGGGAAAATATGGACAAATCCAAGGACTGCACAGCAACTAAACAAGGTCAAAATAAAATACAACAATTAACAACTAGACATTTTCAACAAACAGGTCAGAAATTTGTCTAAGAGAAGCAAGCATTATTTATTTATTTTAAACTATACTAACACAGCAGAGGTATTGTTAAAGAAAACTTTTAAAGATATACCTTGTCTTCTTACAACAAAACTGTGAAATATTAGTACTGATATATTATCTCAGAGGAAACTTACTCCAGCTTCAAATACATAAACAATTCTCTACATAAACCAGTTTGGATAAAATTTCAAAAGCACCAAGGTGACTCAGAATTCCATTCTCTATTTTTAAAAAGAGATTGCTACTATAAATATGTCAATTTTGAGGAGACAGTCAGGCACTTTAAAGTGTCCTACCTCTTCCCCCTCCCTTAAAATTACTTGTTCCAGTTTCTCTATTTTAACTATTTTAATCTTTTCCCTCTCCTGAAATAATTGCTCTATATAACATGCATGTTAGACCAAAAACCAAACCAAACTGACAAAAAAAAAAAAAAAAAACTTTCAATGACAAAAGTTGTGACAGGTTAGTTGTTCCTTTCTCAGGAAAGGATGGAAGTGGAATTTAAAGCAAAATACAGCATAACGTTCTCTGCAAGTCCTACTCCTGCCATTCACATCCTGGAAAATCATATTTTCCATGATGTGATGTGAGATTTTACACAAGTACTGATCATGCCATTTAAACTTAAATAATCCTATACTAAAAATAGAAATTAATGTCATTCCAAAATAGTCCAGAGCACAAACAAGGAAACAGAAAGGGATGGATATAATGAACGGAAAAAGGTGAAGCAGTTGTAATAAAATAATGGATTTTTTTAACAAAAAGCTTAGAAATAGCAACAGATTTATAGGTTTGACTAATACATTATTTGGAAAACATCACTAATGTCCTTGGATGAGAGCAATTTAAACTAATTAGATACATGTTATAAGCAAAAAAAGGCTCATAAAATTACAGTTGAATATGGAATTCAGTCTTTAAAAACAAGACTGAACACCTACTTAACAAAACAGAATAAACGAAGTATGTTTGCAACTTTTGATAACATATGCTGAAGCATAGTTCATTAGAGACAACCTATCTTAAAAAAAAAAAAAATTTAAACTGAAACATACAGACTTGCCCACATAGCAACATGCTCCTTCTGTAACACTTTTAACAGCCCTTTACAATATACAAATCTGGAATGTCTTACCTCCCAAATCTGTCCTTTTTGTTGAAGTCTGCACCAGTATTTAGCAGAAGATTTAGGCACTCCAAATTCCTATTAAATTAATGCAATATTACTCGTGATTGCAAATTCTATTTCCTTAATATTGGCCTCTGCAAATATCAGAACTGCCACACGTATACATCTCATGCATCTGAACTATCCTATCAAAATTTTGATAGATATATTTTTATATGTAAAATAGATTTCATAATTGCAGGACCAAACCAGGAAAGAATACAAATAATTTCAAGTCCATATATTGAAATTTTATTGATAGCAAATGGAATGCATAAAAACACATAAACATTAACCTAATTTAATAGAAATTTCAATTCTTTAAAGCAAACAAACAGTAACACCTGCATGTCACATGCTTTTTGCTACCAGGATTCCAGCAGAGAAACAAGTTTTTAATGTATATTTTTTAAGGCCAAATAGAAGTTGCAACATAAATATTTTACTCTTTAGTGTAATTAATTTTCAATACAATATGATTATTATAATAGATGTACAATACTGCTTTAAACACCATCTTAGTAACTTTCCTAAACTGGAGATGAATGAGGGAATGTGTCACAAATTATGCGTTTTTATATGAGAAGACAGCATTTTAACTGTAATCATTTGCAACAAGGATGTATCTATCACGTATCTTTTGACTTAGAATGATTATTTAACAGTATTACTTAAACAACATTGAAAGAGAAAAATGAAAATATCAATTATCATGGAGTTCTTGTGTCCCACAAAGTGTATCATGAAATTTATTACCCAATTCTTCCAGGCAATTTTGAGTAGCTGCTATAGAAAACCTACAATACAATAACAATAATCAATATGGATCACAACTCAAGTGAGGAGCAAGTAGTTCTGACTACTTCATCCACCTAAACTGTGGAATTTAATTATGGCTTTTAATTTAGTTATATTGATCTTTTGTTTATTGATATGGTAAAAACATATTTCTCAAAGTTGCTGTTCTCCACTTCATGTCCTACAGTGATCTTAGCTGGGCATGCCACCTTTGAATGCTGTAAATTCTGAAAATTATATCATCATCCATGGGAATTTAAAATAAAATTCAGTTCATGCCCAAGCATAAACCTAAGGTAAGGCTGATGATACTTGGACACTGTACTCCAATAATGATTTATTGAGCTGAATATTTAATTTATTTTTATTGTTTGCAGATAGAATCCATCTTGAAATTATTTTCATATTTACATAAATTCCAAGGGGAGAGGGCAGGAAAAGCACAGAGAGGAAATAATAAAAAAGGACAGGAATGATCAGCAATTGAGAAAAGAACACAGAATATGAAAGCATGAATGCTTTTTTACATACCCTCCAGCTGCAGCTGCATGAAGGCAAGTCCTGCCAAAGTCATCTGGCGTGTCAATGTCAAAACCTAAAAATCAAGTGTTTTGTAAAATCATTATGTAACGCCACCTTTCACAAAGCTGCTCTCATCTACTCTTAAGAGAAATGCTTGCTAAGCAAAAAAGCACTTAAGCACTGAAAATTTACTTCATTTGAAACACATCCTTGCTATTTGTAATATTTTTAAAAACAGGCGTTCAAGTAAAACTGAAAGGGACAAGTTAAAAGACAATTAGTTGCACTGAGGCAAGAGGCTATATTCTTTCCTATCCTATTTCCCTGTAATATTTCTCCGTAGTTTAGTACTGAATATAAAATATATGAAGGTAATAGGAAAATTTAAGAATATGCTAGAATTTATCAGTGTTATGCAGAGGTTTGGTTTGTTTTTTTTTTTAATGAAGAGGGGGATATTAGCATTACTAAATCCAGAAGCTACTTCAATTTCATCCTTGAGTTTAGCTCTTTAGTCCCAGAGAAAGAATGGAGTGAAGACTGTAAATAACAATTACTTACAGAGGAGCCCTTTAGAGAACATTGTAGCTTTCTCTTCCCAAAATGTGTGAACTATGGAACTTCAAAGTTGAGTTTACAAACTTTAACTGTGCAATTCCATATTTAACCATATATTTCGACATGAAGGTTACTATTTAAATCAGGTTTCAAAGCTACAGTTTTTGGTTTGAGGAAACTACTATATTCTGCTAAGAGTCTTGCTCTTGTGTAACAAAACTTATTCATTAAATCTCCTGTTTTGGTACTTTTGCCTGGGAATGCAGATTTTTTTTCCCCCTTTCTAAGAATTGCTGAACAATGATAGATAGTGAACAACACAGGATGTGTTATTCAAGAGCACTACCATTCAAGACTGGTTTCCTATTCCATATCCCCCAAAACATAGGTTTTGTATGCACCACTATGTTCTCTTCCCATTTCAATAGGTAGTGATATACAGCAAGCAATTTAAGGTAGTTTACCAATCTGAAAAGCAGTCTTTGATGCCTTTCCACATCCCTAGGTTGCTTGTCTAACACCACTAACAACTGAAATGTCATTCAGTACTGGGACAAGGCAGATTGACTTTTTTTTTTCCTTAACATCAGCATATGAATATTGATGAATTTAAAAATCAGAGATTCTTAATTTACACAAATGAGACTCTTCTCCCAAACCCAAAAGGGCACATAGTCTGCAGATACCAATCCCCATGCCACGAGCATTTACTAATAAGCTGTTAGCAATATCTAGTCTTTCCAGTCTGAAGGCTGAACATACTCTACAAGTCCTGATCTGCTCCAGGCTAGATTTACATCCAAGTTTGCTCAAAGTCATGTAAAAGTCACAGAAACCACTTGCAAGTCTTCTGCAGAGATTTGTTTGCCATACTGAATTTCCAGTAAGGGCATAGCCAGCACAGCACCACGTGCAGAAAGGAGAAAGAGCCCGAGTATTCCTCATTTTGAACGCATCCGATTGAAATAACTATAGGACAGTTCTTTCCTGGAGCGAATCCTTGCAAGCTTGTCCATGACAGGACAGTGAAATAAAAAGCCTTACCGGTGGTACTTTTAGTTATAGTCCTTTAGTTGTGTTCCCAGGCTTCCCTAGCAGACAACATAAAGCTGGGGAAGCAACTTCGTACTCTTCCTTTTCTCCCACCCTTGGCCCCCCACTTTTCTTTTTTCAAAAAAGATGAAGTGCCTTCAGATTAACGTAGCATCGTTTAGTTTATCATTCTTCTTCTTTTGTTCCTGAAGCTTCCACAATCCGTCAGACAAATCTACTTTCGCAGAATTGCAATGGTTCAAAGAGCTCAGAATTCACACCAGAGCAGACTCTGGACAACAAGGGAAGTAATAACCTTACAACCCTCTGCAACTTCAGGGGGGAATCAAACGATGAAAGCAAAGCGTAGTTCAGGATGCATTTAATTAACAGTAAACCACCAATGCAACAGTTTCTTAATGCAGCAGTCCATAGAGTTTATCAGAGCTATTAGCTGCCCACTACAGGAATCAATAGGACTAGACCAATCTGTATTAAGCTAAAGACATTATGGAAGGGAAATGGAGGATGCTCCACGAAGTCATTTAAGAGAACATTAGTCTTTCTCCTTGAAGTTGCATTATGGTTGGAACCAGTCATCCCACCTCTAGGGACAACTTAAAATGCACAAACACAACATTTAAAGTTATAGACACACTATTTCAATTTGGATTTTTTTTTTTTTTTAAATTACTTCTGTAAAAGAAATCTGCATTCACTTTAACTGTGGACTGTACATTAAAAAACAAGCACTGGCCCCAGGCTACTAGTAAACTATAAAACTATTTATGTATTACTAAATTAAGACTTAATTAAAAGCTATTCTATGGAATAAAAAAATGAAGTACCAAGCAGCCATAAGATTTTTAAAGAGTATCCTACCTGATGAGAGAAGCTTTCTGCAGCAGTCTGAAAATCCACTTAATGCTGCCAAATGGAGAGGAAACATCCCATGTATACCCCGCCTAAGATACACCATAATCAGGTATCACAGTTTCAGTACAATTAAAATAAAACAAAAATATGATTGTGTGCCGAAGTGCATGTGCATGGTGGGTTCAGCAAACCACCTAGTTAGAATACTGAGCCTTAGGAAAATTTCACATATTAAACACTTTCCTACAAGCTATCAAGATGCATTAAGTCAGTGCAACAGCCTATTAAAACTTTCAGAGCTTTTACTTCAAATACATTAGAGGAAAATCTATTTCTCTTTCTTTTTGTACGAATTGTGATGTACTGAGTAGCTACTTAAAAGTACAGTACAGGATAATACACAAAGTATTTCCTATTTCAAGTTGAAGACAATATTTAAAAAAATCATAGTAGTCTTGTTAATCTAATAAATACAATTCTAAATTCTCTCAGCTGGCATTCATGTCAGTAGAGTTACCTACTTTGCAGTGTCAGCACCACTCGTAATCAGAGTGTTGATTAATAACTCATGGCCATATCTAGCTGCTATGTGCAAAGGAGTATTTCCATTCTTATCTTCACAGTCTATTTCAGCTCCTATAATAAAACATAATTACTTAGTAAGACGACACGTAGGCATACAGATACTTTTGTCAGAAAAACAGCACTGATGATAATTGAAGCAACATTAATAATTGTCCATGAATGACTACTTTGGATTTAAAATCTATACAGCTTTCAGTGGTATTTAGTATTTATAATAAGCAAAATAGAGAGAAGCATTTTATTATGTAACCATATGGGACAAACTTTCTGCAACTTGGGTTATGGAAGAAGAAATTAATATATTTTCCTGCATTCTGGAAAAAAAAAAGGTTCTTCAATGTAACTTATCAAACTTTATAAGCAGATATGCCAGACTCCATCATTAACTGAACTACTACTGGACACTGGATATGAAAACAAAATTCAGTGTATTGTTATCAATACAAGAAGAGGAAAATGTTTGTAATACTGGAAAGCTGATGACAAAACTACTCCCTCCCCCTTTTTACCATTTTGAATGATGGTTTGAGATCTTGAAAATCTACCATGGATGGCTGTCATGTGCAAAGGTGTTTTCCCATCTTTACTCTGTAAAAGAAAATAAACCCCAGTGTTTACTTATAGCCAGTAATAGTAATCCACCAGAACTGACAAAAAAAAGAAAAAGGACATTCTTTTACTTTCTTCTCTCCCCTCTACTCCCTCCTTTAAATTGTTTCTATGCACTTCTGCAAGACAGATACTGGCAGTGACAAGTCAGCATGACATGGCCAGCTTTTCAAAAGAGCTGCTCTTAATCACTCTTGCAGCTGTGAGTGACAACTCAGCAATGCCCACTGACTCACAGTTACACCTTTAGGATAATCACTCTCAAGAGGATGATGACAGTGCACAACTTAGCAACAAGCCTATGTCCAACTCTTCCCCCACCCAAGTCTAAAACAAAACAATGCTTCTTTAAGTTTGTTTCTTGAAAAAAAAAAAACAAACCCCACAACTGTATTTACTATAGAGGTTTACACATTATATTAGAAGACAACACATTAAAAAGCTCATGTGTTTCATGGAAATTTCTGTAAAGTGGTATTTGTAAGCAATTTATCATAAACCACAAATAATCCTAGGGTAGAACTATTCAACTGTAACTGGTACTATACATTTGACACACATATCAAAAGTGCACTTAGTAAATTCACCCAGTAAAGATGTCTGTCAGGCAGGCCAACAGTAACACATAAGGGAATTTCACTTCTTAACAGCACAATCTCAATGCACTTACAAAACCAGTTTTTTCTCTTATTATTACTTTAGGATTATTCCCCCCCACCCCCCGCCGCCCCGTACTTTATCATAGGTAATGGGAAAGCTTTAGTGCAGAAAAAAGTTCCTACAAATGCACACAAAAAATTGCGAACATGACACTCGGAAAATAAAAGCACTCTTGGATGCACATGCATACCACATCTTCAAGCGCTGGCCTGAAGAGTATGAAATGTTCACAAAATGCAAAGTTAAAAAAGACAGAGATGGTAGGGAGAACATACAATATGAACATATGTATTGAAATATCACGTGCTATCATGTGAAAAAGTGTCTTCCCATCTTTACTCTTCCTTTGGAACCAAACAGCAAAGCTTCTATGGATGTGTTACTGAAAGTCTGCTGGAGACCCTTTTAGACAGAGTTGGATGTGGAATTTTTAGTTGTGTCACTGCACAGAGCAGCATACATGACCTAGAACAATGCAATTATGGGAAACATTGTCTTCTCAGACCTAGGTTGAAAGAAATAAAACACTTGATAATGACAGCCAAGTTATCTCCAGCTGTTTCAGCTAGCAGATTTCTTTGACCATAAATAATCTGAAGGACACATCCACATATCCATAGCAGACACAAAGAAACACAGAAAATGGGGTTGAAATCGACTTGAGGAATTGGACAATCAATTTACTTCTGTCATTGGAGGCCTTAAGAAAAGGCTAAACAAACATATCGTGACGACTTCCCCAAGCAATCTCTCTGCTCTGATTGTCTTACAAAGAGAATTTTCTTCTAATGTCTACCTTTCATCTTTCTCCCTGTGGTTTAGTTCTACTCTCTTTATCCAACCATTAATATTCTCTGTGTCAAATTATTTTCCTCCTTTAAAACAATTGTTACACATCTGGTGTCTCTGTCCCTCACTTTTCTTCTTTAAGCTGAAGGATCAATTAACTTAAAGAAAAATGATCATATAAAATAAGGTTAGTTGGAGTGAGTGACCAAAAGCTGCTTTGGTAACTAACACTAAACTTTAAAAGGGGAAACTCTGAGAAAGTAAAGAAATACATTAGCGAAGTAACAGAAGAATTTAAAGGCTCAGATAAGCCTGCAGCCTTACTGGCTTGGATATGCTAAATCTGTATCTCAAAGGAAAGCTAATGAAGAGTAAGAAGATGGTCCAGAAAAAAGTAGATCCAAGCCTCACTGAGCACATTAATAAAGCACCTTAGAAGGACATAAGAATAACTTAAGGTGACAGTATTAGAAACTAAAGAGCACAGTGGTCAAGAGAGAACCTTCACAAGACAACCTGAGTAAGATCATGCAAAGGACAGCAAAATAAGCTACAAAATCTCCAGTTGTAAATGAAAAACGACGGTACAGTCAATAACAGATTTTTAGATTTAGTCTGCTCAAATTTACTTAAAAATGCACTTAATGTATATTTCTAAGGCAATGGATTTGATTATCCACAGTACCTCTCTCAGGTCTAACAGTCTCAGGTTCATTTGCAACCCAGGAATAACATCACACACAATTGTCTGTCCACATATAAACATAGAAGAGGTATAAAATTAAATGAAGATGATAATTTCCATGTTGAAGCTTAACTGCTAGGTACAGGATTGCATTCAGAATTCCCTTCTTAGATGCCACTAGGGAAGGATATACAGAATCAGAACCAGTAGCCAAAGAGTTCTTTAAGCAAGGCTCTATTTATTGAGCAAAGTACTGTTTCCTGAGATGCCAGGAGGTGGACTGCATAAGCAAGGAGGTATGTTCAAAACTTTTGCTTCAATTTCCTTTTTTATGCCTTTAAGGTCTTCTATCTAAATACTGAGTTAACTACAGCTGTCTGATTTTACGAGATCAGATAGGATCAGAGCGCATGACAGAATAGCTATGGACTAATAGTAACTTTTGTTGTCTTCACTGAAACTCAATTAAGTGTGGTAAGAGGAAAGAGATCACCCAAATCTCCTCTCTCACCAGAGAAAACATATTCACAAAATACTTAAGATTATACAAAATTTGCTAGGAACAGTAATTGCTATTAGACAGAAAGAATTAACACAGAGCACAAGGTGTTCTATCAAGTGATTACTCAAATATTAACTGTACTCAGACTACTGAGCTTTACTGAGGGTAAGGGGAAATGTAAGTCTATCATGTCACAGCATTCCTCCAAGTGAAATCTCCCCCTAGCAACAAATCTCATTTTCTAGTATCACCAATGGAAGTAAAATAGTTTTTCTATTTAGGTCACTGAATTTTCAAGCAGCAAGGGGGCCCATAAAACAATTAATACCATCCCATTACGTACTCATTTCAACGTGTTCTTCCATGCATGGAAATCCTGAATAGTGAGGACAGAGTGCTGCAGTAATGAGCAATACTTAACAGGATCCACTCTTCTACAGTACTAGATGGACACTGACAAGGCTACAAAAACAAGCATGAAATGACATCCTCTGCCTACAGAGGCGATAAAAAGCATAACATATTTCTACTGTTCCATTGCCTTCTGCTACATATTCCCTTCTTGAGATGAAGCCACCATCCACAGATATGCACAAGCACTTACCCTCCATCTGCCATCAAGAATAAGAGTGTTTCCTTTTTGCTCTCCCCACTAGGTCATCCACAGCAGAAAGTGCTCTAATAGTACTGCCTAGTCTGCACCTAAATTACCATCCATACCCACTGTCACCTCTAAAAACACAGAAACAGTTGCACATGGAAGGGAACTATTGAATCAGATTACAGAAGCAATATAATTATGATGACAAATAAAACCTTATAGCAATTGTAAAAACTACTTTGAACTTCAGCCTCAGTATTTGGAAATGAACAGGCTCGGTTTCAACAAATACTTAGTAAGAATGCTCTAAAAGCATCCCATTTTAACTCTACAAATTATTCTTAGCTACACAACATATTCTAATTCAATTTCCCTTTGCTATTTTTTCAGGATTGTTCTTCTGATTAAATCCCAGATTTATAGGCCTTTCCAGGGAAGCAGAAGCTGACTTGGAAACTATTTTCTTTTGCCTTGGTTCTTGCACTTTTTAACAGTGCAAGTGTTTTCATATACAAAGTAAGGCTGTTCACACCCTCAGGCGCAAATTCACAGGCCAAATTCAGTCATACCGGTATAAATCCACAGAAATGCTATTAACAGAATCACAACAGAGACACAGGTTGGTGTGGAAATGGGGTAAATTCTGTTTTCAAGCTATAATTGCTTAAAAACCCTACACAACCCTATTTGCTTAATTTTGCGCTTAACAGCTTTGATACTCACTAAATCAACACATTTTAATTACAGCCAACCTATAGCTAAAGCTACTAACCCTTTCCACTGTAAAGACATTTTTTTCTGATGCAGGCTAAGTTCAGTAGCCAAATCTTTACTAGGCTCTTAGACTTTTGCTGAAATTCTCAGCTTTCTGATACACTTCAGGCTGCACTTCCCAGCCCCATCACTATCATGTTTCAGAAAAAATGATTCTGTCTTCTCGGAGTAAGCTTAAGAGAAAACCTGGGCTTACCCATACTAAATGTTCTATGGATTATTTTTCTTTTTTTAAGTTAGAGAAACTGACAAATCTATACTTTGGATCCTGTAACTTAAAATTGAATGGGAAGACAGGCAACAATACATCTCTCTGATGTTAACACATCTTTTGTCACCTCGAAACAGAAGTTCACCCACATTATAAACTTCAAAGAATTCAGGAACTTTGCCAGTCGCTTTGAAGATATTAGCTGTTCTTTGCACAATTTCTAACATTACTCACTGTTACAGCTGACTAAATGTAGTCAGTATCTACAGTGTATACCATACATAACCCAAAGATTCTTATTTTAGGGTCAAACATAAAGATTATAGTAATCTTTTAACAGTGTTTAATTATCCTAATAGAATGTTGGAAGTTTTTCATTTTCATTCCTAATATACAATTAAGGTGTATTTGAAAACAAATAGCCAAAAACCCCCAACAACCCTTATTTGCTGCATACCTTTCTGAAATGAAGTCCTCCCCACTTCTTTCTTCTACATCAAAAATATGCACAAAGTCATGAACTGTTACAACCCAGCATATAGGAAAACAGTAATTCTTTGCTTGGTAATATTTATGTTTCTCTTTTGTTCTTATTTGTGCAAGTAACATTTGTACATATTCATTAGTGTATTTAACATTGTGGGATTATTTTCATGACAGAACACACATTACTGAGAAATGATGTTTCAAGAATGGAGGACAGAAGTCAGCCCTGTAAGGCTAAACCCTCAGTCATATCCAGTCTGGGACATTATACAGAGCAGAAAGCTGGCAACAAAAGTAAATGGACTGTGACCTGTGTATTTTAGGACAAGTTGGCAATAAACCCTGTAGCACAGCTCCTTACTTCTCCACGGCACTTTGGTGATGAATTTTTCCACAACTGATTTTAAGTATGCTTTCATTAAATGAGCTGCACTTTTAAATATATGTAAAAGTGAGCAGTAACATGCATCTAAGGTTTTTCCACATCAAATAGCTTATTTTTAAATTACTCCCAAATTTTCAGTGGGCTATGGATTTTGTACAATAGATATAAAATTGTGTTTTAGAATTAGCTAGCGCTAGCTGAGTATCGGTGTATCTTACATGAAGTGAGCCACAAACCCCATGATTTTTAACAGAAATGTTAGCTATTCTAATATTCACCTCTTACCTAGATTGTGCCGAAATTCAGGCATATCTCTATTAAACAGGGGTTTTTTGGTTGTGGGTTTTTTTTTTTTTTTTAATTAAGAAACACAAGGATAAATTGTTCTTTTCCTACCACCTGTGGGCAACAGTACAGGCAATTAGATACTTTGTAAGAGGAACACTTGGACTCTTCATTCCACATACCTGTTTCCCACTTCCCCCAGCCTGCAACCTGTCAAGACACCAGATACTGCCACTTGAATATTTCTGAACACAGCTAAATCTTCATTACTAGAGTAAAAATCAACTTAATACAAAACAGGAGGTTTCACATCTCTCTCTCACATCTCAAGACCTTATCCTACCCACATGAGAAGATAATAAAATATATAGCTTATAGTTTACTTTTATGCTTCTGTGAATTAGAAATCCTACCTACACTAAGACTGGATTATAAGGAATATTCTGCAGTCAAAGACTTGTAACCAAGTAGAGATGTAAAACGTATACTGACTCCGCTCACAAAGTTTTGTTAGAGTAATTAAAAAAACAGCTGTTTAAGACTTTCCATTGGCCTAATCTACTTACCTTTGTATTTTTAATACACCCTTCACAACTCTCCCTTATTAAGATATTCTGTGATTCTATAATTAGATTTGAGGATCTTACATTATCAGCTCTTCAACTGCTCCAGCAATTAGCCTGTTCATACACATTTATCTGAAATATCCTTGATTTCATTAATGCTGCTTATTTGTAGGAAAAAGATGTTCTTTTGCATTTTTCTGCATGATTTGCTCTTACTTATATGGATAGACTAGGGAAGACAAATTATGTGGAATTCTGACTTTTAAATACAATCAAGATTGACGAGACAGTATTGTCATCTTTCTTCTTTATCCTTTTAGGCTATTTACTACATCCCATTGAGTTTTTCAGATTCAGATCAAGTTCCTTGAAGCAACATACCGGCTTATTTTTTCTATAGTACTTTTCACAGAAGTACTCCATCAATCAGTGGTAACTTCTAAACATTATCATAACAATGATTTTGAAAAACTACCTCTGATAAAGATGTACTGCCTCTTAAAGAGTGAATGGATGGCTTTGGATTCACCTACCTTCATATTTACATCAGCTCCATTACAGACCAAAAGCTCTAAACACAATGCTCCATGTGTTGACGCAGCAGCAAAGTGCAAAGGTGTAAACCCCTTCTCATTCATTTGATTTACATTAGCACCGCAGTCTATGAGTTCATTCACTACAACATCTTGCCCGTTGTAGCAAGCTACATGGAGAGGAGTATTTCCATAGGCATTTGGTTCATTCATCTATCAGAGAAAAAAAACCCAAGATTAGTTAGTAGGCAAAAAACCTGTATTAATGCAGCATTTAATTACAACAAAGAAAAACTGCATGTCATGAGACAACTTCTTCGTTATGTTTTGGAACTCTGCAAAACCAGAAATTAAAAGCAAATTCTGGGCTTTGATCAAGAAGTGTGTACCAGGGAAGAGTACGATTGCTTTACAAGTGAGCCAACCTCCTTCAATTGTCCCCACACCAGTTTCCTGTATGCAGTACGCAACTTAACATTTTTTCCATATCTGTGTTCTGTCAACAGTGGCAATTTGCACAGACATTACAGACTAAGCACAGCGTGGACCTCTATCATTTTTCAACAGCATTTGTGGGTTTCCGTTACAAGCAGAGGTCAAAGGGACTTTTTTTTTTGG